GGCATGATCTTGCCTAACTGCAACCTCCGCCTCCCGGGTTCAAGCGATTCTCATGCTTCAGTCTCCAAGCACCTGGGATTACAGGTATGTGCTACCACACCTGGCTTGTTTATTTATTTATTTATTTTTATTTTTTATTTTTTTTGAAATAGAGTCTCACTCTGTCACCCAGGCTGAAGTGCAGTGGTACGATCTTGGCTGGCTGCAACCTCCACTTTCCGGGTTCAAGAGATTCTCCTGCCTCAGCCTCTCGAGTAGCTGGGATTACAGGCACCCGCCGCCACACCCAGCAAATTTTTGTATTTTTTAGTAGAGATGGGGTTTCACCATATTGGCCAAGCTGGTCTCAAACTCCTGTCCTCAAATGATCCGCCCACCTTGGCATCCCAAAGTGATGGGATTACAGGCGTGAGCCACTACACCTGGCCTAATTTTTGTATTTTTAGTAGAGACAGGGTTTCACCATGTTGGCCAGTCTGGTCTCAAACTCCTGACCTCGAGTGATCCATCTGCCTCAGCCTCCCAAAGTGTAGGGATTACAGGTGTGAGCCACTGCACCCAGCCTCAATGGTGCAATCCTGGCTCACAGCCTCTGCCTCTTGGGCTCAAACCATCCTCCCACCTCAGCCTCCTGAGTAGCTGGGATGACAGGTGCACGCCACCATGCCTAGCTAATTTTTTTGCATTTTTTGTAGAGAAAGGGTTTCACCATGTTGCCCAGGCTAGTCTGGAACTCTTGACTTCAAGGGATCCACCCACCCTGGCCTCCCAGAGTGCTGGGATTACAGGCATGAGCCATCAACATACCTTGCCTATTTATTTATTTTTGAGATGGGGTCTCACTCTGTCACCCAGGTTGGAGTGCAGTGGCACGATCACGGTTCACTGCAGCCTCGATTTCCGAGACTCCAGTCATCTTCCCACCTCAGCCTCCCGAGTAGCTGGGATCACAGGCACATGCCACCACACCCAGATAATTTTTTGTATTTTTGGTAGAGAGAGGGTTTCCACATGTTGCCCAGGCTGGTCTCACAAACTCCTGAGCTTGAGCAATCCACCTGCTTCAGCCTCCCAAAGTTTTGGGATTACAGGTGTGAGCCACTGAGCCCAGCCCCCACTGTATTTTATTTGTTTTGTTTTGTTTTTTGTATTTTGGAGACAGCATCTTGCTCTGTCGCCCAGCTTGGAGTGCAGTGGTGAGACCTCGGCTCTCTGCAACCTCCACCTCCCAGTTTCAAGAGATTCTCCTGCCTCAGCCTCCCGAGCAGCTGGGACTACGGGCATGCGCCACCATCCCCAGCTAATTTTTTTGTTTTTTTAGTAGAGATGGGGTTTCACCATGTTGGTCAGGTTGGTCTCGAGCTCATGATTTCAAATGATCCATCCGCCTCGGCCTCCCAAAGTGCTGGGATTACAGACATGAGACACCGCACCCAGCCCTCCCCCACTGTATTTTAAATGACTTGAGAATTTCAACTTAAAATCCTTCCCTAATTGGGGGAAAAGTCCGTACCAATTTTTTTTCAGTGTTAGGAAAAAATTTTACTCTATTTCCTAAAGAGTAAGATACTATTTTTAGGAGAGAAAGAAAAGGTATTTTCTAAAAGAGGGATGCTGATACAGCTAAACCAAGTGAGTTTGTCATAAAGTAATGACATACACGCTTGGAATATAATGAGAAACATTATCAGGGACTTCACCTGCAACCTACTCCTATGGACTTTATTGTGTTCCCCCCAAATTCACATGTTGCAGTCCTAACCCCCAATGTAATGGTATCTGGAGATGGGCCTTTGGGAGGTAATGACATGAGATCATGAGGGTGGGGCACTCATGACAGAATTAGTGTTTTTACAATAAGAGAAACCAGAGCACTCATGCACACTTGTGCTCTCTCTCCCTCTCTGCCATGTGAGGACAGAGACAAGGCAGTCATCTGCAAGCCAAGAAGACAGCCCTCACCAGAACCCAACCATGCAGGCACCCTAATCTTGGACTTCCCAGTCTCCAAACTGATAAATAAATTTTTGTTATATAAGCCTCCCAGTCTCTGGTATTTTGTTATGGCAGTCCAAGTAGGCTGAGATACCTACTAATATAAACAAGGTAATAAAGAAACTGTGTCAGGCAGTACCTCCTCAGCTGTGCGATTGCTATGCCGTTGGTAGGTGAGGGAGGATAAGCTCAGCAGGTGGGTCTTTGTTACCAAAGGATCAAGACAGTGATCAGCATTCTCTTCAGTGGGTGAGGCCATCAGGTGAACGGTCACCTGACTTAGGTCACTCACCATCTGGGTAACACTCCAATCAGAGATAAGGCGCCGCATTACTGTGCCTGCTGAGAAAAAGAGGCACACAGAGACCATGCTGACCAGTTCAGAGGATAGTGTAAGACAGAGATGGAGGAGGGGAATGGAACTGAGAAAGGGAAAAACACCAAGGAACAGGATAGGAGAAATGAAAGGACTCTTTGATTTTACCTTGAGGTATAAGCCGCTGAGTCCCCCGAGTAAAGACATGGCCCTGACTGCACTCAATCTGGATGCCCCGTTGCTGGGCAAATGAGGCCCAATAATGTACCTGGCAACAAGAGAGCATAACACTGAACAAAGAA